CGTTTCAGGCAAATGGCTATCCAGCATCTTCTTAAAGACTTCCAGTGTTGGGGCATTCACAACTTCTGGAGGCAACTTCTGTTCCACTGAATAGAGAATAAGAGAGGTGGAAGGGACCTTGGAGGTCATCTAGTCCAACCCGCCCCCCCAAGCAAAGCAGGAGGCATGCCACAGGTGGCACGCAGATCCGTTTGTCATCGCATGTGAGGCATTGCCCTGTCAGCTGGCCAATGCACATGTGCGCACTGGCCAGCTGACTTTGGCCTTCTTTTGAGGCCATTTTTTGCCCTCCGGAGGTACGAAAAACTGCCAGGGAAGCCTCTGAAGGCTCCGGGGGGCTAAAACCGGCCCTTACAAGCAAACCGGAAGCCTGTTCCCGAACTGCTGGTTTGCCCATAGGGCCGGTTTTTCACGCTCAGGGAAGCCTCCGGGGGGTGGGGGAGGCTGTTTTCGCCCTCCCCATGCTCCTATAAAGCCTCCAGGGCCTGGGGAGGGAGAAAAAAGCACGCCAAAAAGGGGGGAGCACTGTTCATGCGCGCATGTGCATTGCGGTCGTGCATATAGCGTTATGGGTGTGGCATGCCTGCACACGACACCCCCCCCCCTGCGCTCCCCTCGCTTTTGGCACTCGAGCCACAAAAGGTTCCCCATCATTGCTATAAGGTCCCCTGCTTGAGCAGGGGGTTGGACTAGAAGACCTCCAAGGTCCCTTCCAACGGCATAATTCTGTGAAACCTCGTTGCCTTCAACGAAATGAATTGGTTGCTTTTCCTGCTGCAAAACTTGCGTTTTCTCCCTTTCCTGCTTCCTCGCAGATCACTGCATGCAGGTCCTGCGGTGTCAACACGAGTGCGTGCGGCAACTCGCCACGCGGCCCGGGAGACTCTCGCCCATCGACAACTTCCTGCCCCTGCATTACGACTTCTTGCAGTTTGCCTACTTCAGAGGTGGGTCTAGCAGCTCTTCTGGGACTCCTCGGCCGCGCAAGATCCGAGTTGTGTTGTCACCCAAAAGCTAAACCATGCCCAGGTCTACCAGCACAAGAACAGTCCTCTTGGGTCAGGCCAAGCCCACTGTAGTCCAGTATTGTGTTTGCTCCTGGAGGACAACNCAGCACGTGAGGCATCCAGCCAGGAGATTGATTCCCCTGGACTCGAAGATGTCTAAGGTCCCTTCCAACTCTTTGATTTTGTTACTCCTCTTTAAAGGCAGTCCTGGGCTTACAACAGTCCCATTTAGTGACCGAAGTTACAACAGCGCTCCAAAAAGTGACCATTTTTCAGACTTATGACCATGGCTGCATCAACGCACCCCCCACGGCCGGGTGATTTACATTCAGGTGTTTGGCAACTGACTCAAATTTATGACGGTTCACCTGACCCCTTTTGCGACCTCCTGACAAGCAAACTCAGCGGAGGAGCCAGATTCACTTAACAGCTGTGTGCCTAACTTAACGACGGCAGTGATTTGCTTAACAACATTGGCAAGAAAGGTCGTCAAATGGGGCAAAACTCACTTAACCGCTGTCTCGCTTAGCCACTGGGATTTTGGGCTCTATTGTGGTCGTAAGTCGAGGACTACCTCGGCTTACTTTCTCAGCCTTGGCCAGTGGCCACTATTTACGACAGTTGCCATATCTTGGGGGGGGGGGGTGTCACGTGATCGTCCTATGCAAACTTCCCCCCCAGTTTCCAAACAGCGAAATCAAAGGGGAAATCAGGATTCGCACGGCGTGATTAATCACTTAATCATAGATAGAAAGTGGGTATGAAGCTGGGTGTGATTCACTGAACAATCATTTTGCTTGCAACGGAAATTGCAGTCCCAATTTGGTCATAAATCAAGGACCTTCTGACTCCTGTGCTCTCTGACTCCCGAGTGGGCAGGGGAGCGTGCGTGTCTCATCCCTTGCACCACCAAGCGGAGACAATTCCCTGGGGGCTGCGGCTTCCTAGTGCCTGGCGGTTGTGTAACAGGTCGAACACGCAGCCGCCTTCGGCACGAGAGAATGTGCTGGCAGAGGCTCCCTGGGGGAGGAAACAGCCTCACCCCCCCCCCCGTAGATGCCAGAAGCCGCCTCCTTTCCGAAGCTGCCGCGGGAGTTTCCCAAATTGTTGGTTCCGATGTGGGTTTATGGTTTCCCATGCAAGGAGGTCTCACACCTGGAATGCGGCATCCAGTTTTGGTCACCGGGATAGAAAGAAAGTAAAATTAACAGACTAACAAAAGCGGGAAGGGACCTTGTAGGTCATCTAGTCCACCCCCCTACCCAAGCAGGAGACCCTACACCACTTCTGACAGATGTCCAGTCCAGTCTCTTCTTGAAAGCCTCCAGGGATGAAGCTCCCACAACTTCCTGGAGGCAAATTCTGTTCCACTGAATAGAGAATAAGAGAGGTGGAAGGGACCTTGGAGGTCATCTAGTCCAACCCCCTGCCCAAGCAGGAGACCCTACACCATTTCTGACAGGTGGCCATTCAGTCTCTTCTTGAAAGCTTCCAGGGATGAATCTCCCACAACTTACAATACAATACAATAGCAGAGTTGGAAGGGACCTTGGAGGTCATCTAGTCCAACCCCCTGCCCAAGCAGGAGACCCTACACCATTTCTGACAGGTGGCCATTCAGTCTCTTCTTGAAAGCTTCCAGGGATGAATCTCCCACAACTTATAATACAATACAATAGCCGAGTTGGAAGGGACCTTGGAGGTCTTCTAGTCCACCCCCCTGCCTAGGCAGGNATAATGGAATGATATAGAATATAATATAAAGATGTACTACTATTGGATGGATTTAGGCTGATGTAATCACAATATAAAATAATTTAAAATTTAGAATTTCTCGCATAAAATGAAGTAATAATAGTTATAAGTCAAATAAATGATTAACAATAACCATGTGTGTGTGTGTGTGTGTGTGTGTGTGTGTGTATATATTAGATAATATATATCTCATATTATCAATCTAATATATATATATTAGATTGATAATATGAGATATATAAATTGTGAGGACTATGGAGAGGATGCACACAAACGTTTTGGTAACCAACCGACACACTGTATGTAACTGGAAGATGGTGTTATGTTTTATGTTTGTTTGTGTTTGTCTAAAAATAAAAAAAATCTTTTAAAAATACGTATAGATATAGTTCTTTCTCTTTACTCTGCCTCATCAATGCCCAATAGTATTCTTCCACCGCAATGTCTATTGTTCAGCTATAGATTTTCTGAGTGATGGGGAGCCTATTTTACTTTTAACAAAGCCAATTTCCCCTTCAATATTTTATTCACTCCATGCTAGTTTAGAATCTTGGTGAACTAAACCAAGCATTAAGCACATGGAGAATTATTTAGTAAAATTTAAATGTTTTTTGTTGTTGTTCACCGTGAGCATGATCTAAGCCAAACACCAGGAAATAATAGGATCCTTGAATTCCACTTGAATGGACACAGACAGACTCCGAACTTCCTGGTTTCTGTTCCATCCCATAAATCCAATCCAAAATAAGGAGAGATGTGCTGAGTTAGCAAGACTCTCAGTATTTAAACATGGGCTGAATGACTGCAGGAACTGTCCCCTGGTGGGAAAGAAATGCAAAAAGGCTGTTAACAATTCCACGTTTTTCTCCTAAAATCCCCAGACATTTTTCTTTCTCTCAATCTCCCAGTTCAGCAGACAACCCAATCGTGTTTAAGGATTCTGAGAGATAGAGTAAGACTTTTCCACTTCCTTGGCACCAGGCTAGTGTTCTGGGCTTCACACTGGCTGAACAGAGATGCTGGAGAGCAACCATCTATTTAATGGTGTATTGCTGCCCTCTAACGGTTTGTTTATCTATTAGTTATTTCTATACTCTAAACAATTCAGAGTGGGTCAGCTCGGACAATTCCTTGCGAGATAACACAAAGCTATGTTATTTGCCACTGTTTCTTTGGCATTATTTCCACTGTCAAAAATGGCCTTGCTTCTAGTCTGCAGCTGGTTTGAATCTCTCCATAGAGAGGCGATGGTCAGCCAGGCTTCACCCGTTTCACATCATACAGGTAAGCAGCTCATAGCAGCCAAGAGGTGCCCTCAAGAGGTGGTCAAAAAAACCCAGTGATGGCTACCATGTTAATGTGAAACCAAACACACCTGGCACTTCAGCTGCAGCATTGTATCCTCTATCTTGATTTTGTTCACCACTCACGGCAGACACCCCGAGTAATGGCTGTGATTTTAGCGCAAACCACAACTTTGACTTTCGAACCAGACAACTGCACCTCCTGCTTGGTATCGGGCTTTCCGTGTGGCTTCCAAGTCAAACAAAAATCTCCCGAGGAAAAATCTCCAAGAGGAAAGATAGGAGCTGACTTGAAAATGCCCACTGAATTCATTACCAAGTTACTGATTTTATTNTAAAATGAAGTAAAATAGTAATGTAAAATAAAATAGTATAATAATAAATAACAACAAATAATAATAAAACAATAATAAAATGAAGTGAAGTGAAATGAAGTAAAATAAAGTAAAATAGTAATGTAAAATAAAATAGTATAATAATAATACATAACATGTAACATGTGACATACAACACAACACAACATAACATATAATAATAAAATTAAGTAAATTAAAGCCACTTCCGGAGTCCTTGGGGATTGGGCGGCATATAAATTTTATAAATAAATAAATAAATAAATAAATAAATACATACATACATACATACATACATACATACATAAACAAACTTCCATTTAGCCTGGGGGAGGGGCAGTTCAACCTTTTGGGTCCCTTAGAAACTCAACCCATGGAGCCCCCAGATTCCTCCCAGTTGCAATTCCTCCCAAGAGGCTATTTAAGCCCCCCCCCCCCCCGGTGGCCCCGGAAGAGGGAGAAGGTCAAGACCTCCATAAGGAGGAGCGTCTGAGACTTTCCCACCGATGGGAGAAGACGGAGGAGGAAACGGCAGAGGGCGGATTCAGCAGGTTCTGATCGGGTCTGGGGAAACGGCAGAGGGAACTTTGAGTAGTTCGGAGAACCTCTGGCTGGCCGCGCCCCCCATCAATTCCCCGCCTCTGGAGCCCCAGCAGCTGATTGGAGGGGAATGGGGATTTTGCAGTAAACCTCCCCTGCCACGCCCACCAGGCCCCGCCCACAGGACCAGTAGTAAAAAAAAATGTTGAATCCCAGCCCTGGAAAAGGGGGAGCCTGATTCTTCACCTGGATCCTCCCCCCTCTGCCCCCCTCCCCACCCATCCCCTGGCCCAACACACAGCCACGGGGGCCTTTGGGGGGGGGGGTCTTACCCGCTTCTCCTAAGCTCTGGAGCTGCTCAGGCGATTCACTCCGATCCGGTCCAGAGGAAGTCCCAAGCGCTTCTTTGGGAGAGGCGCCACTTTCCTGCAAGGAAGACGGGGGGGTCAAGGCAGAGGACACCGCCCGGGGGGGGGGGGCTCCTTCCAGGCCTGGGGGGAGGGTAGACCCCACCGTACCCAGGGCCTCCCTGCTGACCCATGGAAGAGAACCTCTATAGCTCAGGGCCGAACTGTGGGGTCCTGAGCGTCCCCAGGTCTCCTGCCTGAGCAGAGGGTTGGACTAGAAGACCTCCAAGGCCCCTTCCAGCTCTATTCTGATTGAAAGAAAGCAACACCAGGAAACTGCATCTCCCTTATTTTGATCCCGTCATGCAGGGGAATTCATTGGAGAAAGCAGCTGTGTTGGGAAGAGCTGGGGGCCAAATGAAACTAGCCTCCAAAGACCAGTGGAGACTGGAGACCATCAAAACTGACCCCGGCCAGAGGATTGAACACTCAAAGGAGCAGAGCAAGACTTGAAGAGGTGGAGAGACATGGCGCATGGCGAGGTGGCGCAGTGGTTAAATGCAGCACTGCAGGCCACTTCAGCTGACTGCTAGTTCTGCAGTTCGGCTGTTCAAATCTCACCGGCTCAAGGTTGACTCGGC